GAATGTGTGTGTAGCTTTACATTTTAAATCTGAATCGGAGACCCAGCAGCATAATGTAAGCAGCATTGTTCTGTCACATGGGGAAAAAAATGTGCTTTTCTCTCAGAGAATTGTGTGTAGTGTTTGCTCCCTAACTTAAATACCCACTAAGTAGTGAGTCCAGTGTAAATTTATTCTAGTTGTGTAATTTTACTACATGCATGCTTTCAAAAATAAGAATGATGTTTTCATTGTGTGACTTAGGTCCAGATTAATTTGATAGTATAGATCCAGCCTTATTTGATAGTAAGAACAAGCTATATCATATAACACGGTTGTGCAGGAGACTTGCCTGTAAAGAGACTGGCACCTTCAGAACCGTTCTTACAGAATTGAAGCCCGGTCATGATAACCACCACTAAGTGGCACAGACTTGCCCTTTCACTGGCAATCTGTGTAAGAGAAAGCAAGAAATGATCAAACAGGTTACTGTAGTATCCTGAGAAATGTGAAACCCTCTAGTAAGGAAGAAAGGTGGGAAGACTGGTTTCAGTTTTCACTGCTTGTAGCATCCTCTCACATTTTTAATGATTTCTCACTTCAGTGAGAATATAAGTAAGTAAACGTGAAAGGTTGTAAGAATATGTTAGAAGGATCTGAAATTATTAATTTATCTGCTTGGGGGGAGTGTTGGTTTTTTGGTGTGTTTTGTTGTTTGTGTTGGTGGTTTGTTTTTTTTTCCTATCGAAGTATCTTCACCATTGCTGCGGTTCAAATGTTTGGTGATGTGAAGTGTTATGATTATGCTCTCCACTCGACATCCCTGTCCTGTAGTTCTGTTTTACGGGCTGGAAAGTATGCCATGAGTTAGTAAAGCTGATTTCTTGAGATCTTGTAGTACATCTGTGTCGGGATCCTGTTTCATCCTTCGTTATCCTTTTCTCTTTAAAGTCTAGAGCTACCTGGATACGTAGAAATAGGCTCTAAAATTACTGAGGGTGTCAAACCTCCATCCTTCCTTCATGCCAAGCACCAACTCCATGCTCACTCTCTTCTTCGCATATCCTGTGTGTCCTGAGATGGAGCTGGGGAGGCTGGAGATAATGTGCGAGAAGCTTGGATTTTGTGTTCTCATCCCTTCCTGGTTATAAAATGATCCTGCAAGGTGCCAAGTGTTTCTTTCAGGGGAGAACAGTTCTCCAGGTGCCTTGATTTCTTCCAACTCTCCTCTTCTGAGTTGTAGCAGGTGGGATTAGATGCCTCAGTGATTTTTCTCTGATTAACCAGAGCCTGAATCCAGTAGTCTAATATGAAAATATTAATGATGGACTGTGGGAGCTGCCAGGAAGAACCCTGGAGAGGATGTGCGTTTTTGAATTACCAGTTGTGTAGCAGAAGCTGGGTGTGGGGCTTTAAACAGTGGAAACGCTTTCAGGAAAATCGGTCAAGGGTTTGACTTAGAGCTGTTGTGATAGATGGGAGCACAGACTGAAGTTGCAGTAAACACTGCTTGGCCTTTCTCTGCTTCACAATCAGGAAAGATCTGGGAATAGAAAGATCAAATGTATTCTTGGACCAGGCAGCATTTTTCTACCAGAAAGGAGGTAGTTGGTCAGGACAGACTTACTCAAAGGAGACTCTTGAAAAACTCCATCTTGTTAGCATTGGGCTTGCTGTCTGCTTTCTGCTGCTGTACCCTGCTGTCCCTTGTCCTTCAGGAACATCCTTCATCTCCTCCCTGCTATGTTGCTGTCCTACCTGTTTCTTGGGGTAAGATATCCCCTGGTCACCCCACACCTGTAGCTCCTCACCCCTCTCCCTTCTGTGCCCAAACCATAGGTTCTTGCTGCTGAGCAGAGCAGGCATCAGGAGAAAGGCTCACACGGTGAGCTCAGCCATCTGTCCAGGACACACAGGCTCCATTTCTGGGACAAGCAGCACATATGGCATCTCTGCTTCTGGCAGCTCGGAGAGGTTGTCCTGCAGGTTGCTCAGTGTCTCCTGTCGATTAGGTCGGTTTGATGTCTCTCTCATTCGCAGCCCGTGGTGTATAATTTTTTCCAAAGTAACAGGCCCTTTGGAAGGAAAGGTCTTTGGTTCTTGTTGGCTGGTTTATATGACCTTCTTTGTGGTCCAGGGAGCCCAATGCAAGGCCAGTGATACAGCAGGAGCAGAATGGTTCCATTATGCAAATGGCATGAATTTGGGTGTATCAGTAGTTTTTTGAGGGCATTTCCAAGAACTATGGGTGGCACCTTTTCAGAATGTTCCCGTTAATGTGCTGAGGTCAGAAGTAGTGTTCTGTCAATAAAAGGCCCCATTTTGAAGCTTCTTGCTTCCCACCCCCATCCCTTCTGGCATCATTTGTTTATAAAGGTCATACTTAAGGATTTCACTTGGTTACTCCCAACTGAATATTTTGTCTGGGATGTGGATTTGTGCTTTGTTTGGGGGTTTGTTAGTGGAAGCAGAGAGACAGGAGGAAAAAGGATGAAGTGGTTTTCTCAGCTGTGAGTTGACGTAGGATTTTGTGGGGTACCTTGTGTCTCCTGCCAGGTCTGTGCTCTTTTACACTTAGTTTGGGGAGTCTGGAGAGCTCAGAGCACTTCTTGGTTTTATGAAGTTGATTTTTTTTTTTCCATTATGACAGATCTAACTAGGGCCACCTGGGAACGAACACCAATTGCAAAATGAGCAAATCTAAAGTAAATTCTGTCTCAAGGCGATGCTATGCTGTGGTACAGCATGGTCCAGAGGCAGGGCTGGTGGGGTGTGTGCAGGGTATGTAGGATGCTGGAAGCAAACGCTTCTGATGGTGTATCTCTCCTGCTCTGGTGGGCTCATGCAGTGGTATGACAGTGAAGTCAATACAAGTTTCTTCTCTGTTAAATAACTTTCTCTGAGCTTGCTAGCTTACAGGTTGGGTTCTTGTCTATATTTTCCTACTGTAGAACCTCAGCGAGGGTCAGCCCTGCTATTTATAGCATGGTGTGCTAGTGCCAGAATTGTTATCTCCTTTTTACAGGCTTAATAAAATCAAGTGACTTTGATTTGCTATTTGGTAATGTCTGCATTTGTGAATATAGGAGCATGAGGAAAACAAATTAACAGGAAACAAAATTGCAGTGTTACTTTATCCTACCAGGAATACAAGATGTGCAAAGGATAAATATCCTGTTGCTTGCCTGTGTTAGAGTGTGTTCATTATACTTTAAGTAAAGGCTAATCCATTTCAAGCCTGGGTTAATGCTGCGCTATCCTGACACTCCAAAATGCTCAGAAGGTGGGCTTTTACTCTATTAGGTCATTTATTGAAATAACTTAATCGTAGATGCCAGCATGTGGTCACGAGTTGCTCTGGTTGATTTGGGTGTGTCTACATTCTGTAGGTTTTGCTCTCAATACCTGTTTTATATTTTTTTCCCACCTATCAAGGGAGAAAGAGAGTATAATACTGTATAACAGACTTAATAAGGAGAGCAGAGACAAACTCTCCAACTTTTCAAGAAGTGTCCAGTGTGAGGTACCTGTTTGTGTGGAGAATCATAGAATCATTAAGGTTGGAAAAGACCTCAAGGATCATCAAGTCCAACCTAACACCACCTAACTCACTAAATCATGTCCTGAAGCACCACATCTACATGTTTCACGCCTCCAGGGATGGTGACTCCACCACTTCCCTGGGCAGCCTGTTCCAATGCCTGATCACTCTTTCAGTGAAGAAATTTTTTCTAATATCCAGCCTAAACCTCCCCTGGTGCAACTTGAGGCCATTTCCTCTTGTCCTATCACTTGTTACTTTAGAGAAGAGGCCAGCGCCCACCTTACTACAACCTCCTTTCAATAAACCCCATAATTTTTAGTAAAGATTGTCAACAGTTGACAGCTCTCATCTTTATTTAGTGGAAAATTGAAGGGGATAACAGATTGATTAAAAAAAAAAATATTGACATCATCATAAAGCAGCTGTAGTGCTATTAAAACCTCGTTGTATATGTATAGAGAGATAAATTTTTATTCTCAGAACTCTGGTGTCTTGTGGATTCCAAAATACACAGCTAAAATAATATCTACATAATGTTATAAAACGCCTTTATTTGTGACACAGCAGCTGCGTTTCTGGCAACAAATATCTTATTGTCACACCGAATCCAATTAAAAATCAACAAGATGAAATACTGTCTTCACAGAGGGTAGCAGGAAAATCCAAAACAAAAAACCCAGAGCAGAATTAAGCAATCTTCCTGTCTGATGTGGATGTGCAAGTTTTCTTCTATATGGAACTTTTAATCATTTCACCTTAAAAGGTACTAGGATGTGCTTGAAGATTGTAAACCTAATTTGGGATTTGTCTTCCTCAAAATCCCCTGGTGAAATAGAAGGATTACGTAACTAATCGAAAGGAAGTCTATGTACTTCTGTGTAATTTTCCAAAACCAACCCCAAAACAACCTGAACAAATGAGCGTGGGGCTGAGATACTGCTATTTGTGTCTTCTCTCTGTGAAGCTCTCCTAAAGTGCCTCAACCCACTTCCAGGTAGGGCATAAGTCCTAGGACAAACTGTGCTCTTTTTTATTTCTTTTTTTTTTTTTTTTAGTCTCCTCTGGCTTCCCTAGACCAGCTGCAGGGGACTTAGGACAGGACTTTTCCCAGCATTAAAAGCGTTCTAGAACATCCAAGTTCTTTGTGTTCGAGATGAAAGCTATCGAAAAGAGCAGCCTTTCATCTTTCCTCTTTCTTCCCAGTTTTGAAGTGCTCAGTGACCACGTGCCCTGACCTATAAGTACTTTATCTACAGGGCTAACTTACTTACAGCTGCATAAGAAGATTCTCTCCTGAATTTGAGAATCCAGACGCAGGTTGCTATGTAAAGAAATACCACTCCAGAAAAAATGTTTGTTTCATCAGTGACATGGCACAGAGGCAGTCAGAAAGGAAACAAACTGCTATGTAAAGAAATACCACTCCAGAAAATGTTTGTTTCATCAGCGATACGGCACAGAGGCAGTCGGAAAGGAAACAAAGAAAGACTGGTTGCCTAATGGCCTTGTGGTGGGGAAGGGTTTTCTATTCTTGGTGGTTGGTTGCTGCTTTAAAAAAACCAACCAAACAAAAAGCAAGGAACAGAAGTTTTCCATTTAAAGTACAGCAATTCCATTATTTCATTTTCATGTGATGATTTCTAGAAATCCCCCCAACTGTCCACGTGTAATTTGGTTGAGTGGCTTTAAAATGCAAAGATACTTAATGGCTATCTTCTATCACTGAAACAGCCTCTCCTCTGGATAGGATTAGGGTGTTTGTCCATTACTTTTTAATTTTATCCTGTCCTTTTGTTAGCAGCTAGCATTTCTGAAGTCTGAAATTGTCATAGACTCATGACGTGTCCAGCTGTGCGAGCTGCCTGGTCCTCCTCTCACTTCCCCCTTTTCCTTTCCATGCTCTGCTGCCTCTTCCCTCCCTGAGGCTGGGCTCAAGTCCACCGGAGGTATGTTTTCCCCGTTTGTGGACAAGTGCTGCTGGATGAGCTGCCCATAGCCTGCATTAATTCTTTGCTGTGATTCACCCTTTGTTTTGCCAACCTGTTATTTTTTTGGAGTAGTGGGTAGTAAGCTCCCTTGCTATCTTGGGATAATTTTATAATACGGGTTTCTTTAATTGATTGTCTTATATCTAAAGAACAGTGCCTTCCCTGCGAATTCTATAGCACTGAAGAATTTAGAGATGGAGAGTGGAAAGAGGAAAAAAAAGTACTTTAATTTTTTTTCAAGTGAGTAATGATTTGACATGCTCTGTTTCAGTACATGTTACCATGGCGATGACTGCAGGGACTACAACATCCTTTCCCATGAGTAACCACACCCGGGAGAGAGTGACGGTGGCCAAACTTACACTGGAGAACTTCTACAGCAACCTAATTATACAGCACGAAGAGAGGGAAACGAGGTATTGGCTCTGCTTCCTCTCACTCCTCTTTAGCTTTTCTTAGTTGACTTTTGGCAGTGTTCGTTCAAGGGCACTTTGATTCCCATGCATGGAGCAGTTCTTGGAAGTTTTTCTGTACTTGGTAGTGAGGAGCTAATCTCCGAAGGGCACAGGCTCCCTTTCTGCTGCTGGTTGTGCTGGTAGACCTGCAAATAACCCCTGCCGCTGCACCAAGCAGTCAGCGAGTGACCAAGGACTTCCACTTTTCATGTTCTCATACAATTTAGCTCCTCACTAAATTATCACTATCTTGTGGAAACCAGTCTGTGCAGGGTCTTACTCTGCAGCACGTGTGAGATTTCTAATTCTGCATGTGGGGTTGGCGACCTCTGATTCCTCTACATGTGCCACAGGGAATAAACTCCACAGGGGTAGATGCTGTGGAGCTGCTGATGGGTAGTGACTTGGTTTCATGTAAAAGGCAGTGGTTCATAGTGTCTATTCATGCTCTACAGCATGGAGCTCATGCTAAGACTCATAAACCCTGCAGAAAGGAGTGTGTAAGAATAGGGAATGGACTAATAGGAGAGGTGTTTGACAGGGTGATGGGATAAGGAAAGTAGAGACTTGGAGGCAGTCTGGGGTTGAAATAAGGAGCAAGAAAGAGTATTAAGTGTGGTGATGGAGGGTCTGACAGGCTCTTGTGTGGGCAGGAAGAATTTTGGGGGTAATGTAGTACCCACCTCTAAACTCCTTTTCGGTGGTGTTGACAGGTACTGCTTACATGGGAACATGCATTTGCCATCTTCACTTTAACTTCTCTTATCGGTGCCCAATTTTGTCTCTGCTGTGGTGAAGTGCTACTTGAATTAAGTGTCAAAAGCACGAAGCATTTGATTATAATGAATGTTGTGTTTCAAATTGTCATCAGCACGTGAAATTATCATTCCCCTGGTAATATGTTTTTAATTGAGGGGTTTTCAGCTGAGCAGCAGGGTTTCTCTCTTTAGTCATTTTCTCTCTATTTAGTCATTATCCCATGTAATTGAGTTGCTTCTAGTTAGGAGAATAGACTGTCTACCGAGGGCCTTTAATTTAAGGGATCCTGCTGTACTTCCTGAAGTGTAGAACGACACCAGCAGCCTGGCACCTGGCCTTCAAGCTCTTGGCCACTATTAGCGGGTAACTGGCTTTCTGAAAGCTGCACCCATGATGGTCATAAAGAAGCAGCATCCCACGGGTGGGAGAAGAGGGGTCCAGCTGACACATTGCCCCATGCTGACCCCCTGCCATCTATGGGGTACTCTAGAGGAGACCCAGGACCAGTAAACCTTGGCCCGGGCAGGACACTGGGAGGAGATTATGACAAATCCAGAGGGGTAGAGTTAGTTGGCATGAGGGTAAGGTGAGCAGGACCAGGTGTGTGACCAGAGAGGCCAGCAAGGCTGAGACTGGGGGCAAAAGCTGGAGCTGGCTGAGGTGTTGGAGGTAGAGCTGAGCTAGAAACCATGAAAACATGGTTAACCATGTTTATTCTGATTTGTAATCCTAAATGATAAAAACAGCCTTACTTCAACAAGATTATATGAAGAAATATAAGTCATTAGAGTGATTATGTGTCTGGACCTTTAATGCCTAATTCTGCAAGTACCTTAATATGTGCTTAAATTGGCTTATACATTTTCAATAGCTTGGGTCACTAATGAATAAATGGATGGAGTGCGCAGTAAGTCTTCAAATTTATGTTTGAGGCAAACTCTTTGGTATCTGGAATATGTGAAGTAAAAGTGTTGTCTTGCTGTAGTGTTATGTTTGTTTTAATAAATAACAAAAAAACCAATCTCCTGTTTCTCCCCTTTGCAGGCAGAAGAAGTTAGAAGTGGCTATGGAAGAGGAAGGCCTTGCAGATGAGGAGGTAATACTACCTGAGGAACCTTTGAAGAGGCTTCTTTGCTTTTGTCACACTACTTCAAATTGTTATTTGAGGACCTTACAGAACCATTAGCTAGCATGACATTAAGTTTGATTTTGTAAATGAATGTGAATGGGAAGCTGTGAATATGCTTGAATGATACTTGCTATAGGTTTTTCATGCCACCCTTAGTCCTTGTGAGACATAGGGCCACAGCAAATATATAGCTTTCTTTTCAAATATTAAAATTGTTTGCCATTATATTTGTCAAGAAAAAAAGGTGAAATGGGCTTGGAAGAAGTGGGTAGAAAGCAAAATGCTTGAACAATTTTTTTCTTGATTTAAAGAATAAAGTGGGCACACCCTTGCTCTGTTCTGATACGGATGAGGGGGGGATCTCTGTCCCATTGGTATTTCTCAGAATTTTGGTCAGTAAGTTGCTTTTCTGACATTCATCACACCATGGCTGCCTGTACTGCCTTCAGGATAGGCAGGGAATAAGCAGGAACAGTACCTCCAGTCATTTCTGAGTTTGTGTGGCTGCCGTTAACACCTGGGAAGAGGGAAAAGTGAACGTGGGTGCATAATGCCATCTTGTGGTTTTAAATGACACTGTTATCCTAGTACAAAATCTGGCAGGTGCCTGGTGGATGGCTCTTGTTAGCAGTGCAAGATCTTCTCAGTATCTTTGGGAGCATACGTCAGTGTTTGTCTTCTCCCAGAGTGAGTCCCACTGACATTTTTGTAGAACAAAATACATGACAGGACTTCGACAGATTTTAATTTCAAATACAAGTGTTTGCCTTCTCTAAACCAAATGGATTTTGCTAGAGATCGTGTAAGTTTGATCTCTGCTGCCTGTTAGGCTTCTTGTTGCCTGTCATCACTCTTTTTGGTGGGGTGCAAGTTTCAGCTTTTATTGATCCTTAACACTACCCAGAAACAAGAGTCCTTGCCTCAGCTAGTGACTTTGGCCTTTGGAGTGATGCACTTTTTTGAACCAGTATACTTTTTTTTCCCCATTATTTTTTACTACTCTTTCATTATATCTATGTAATAAAAAAAGAAAAACACCTCATCACCACTACCCCCCCCCCCCCAAAAAAAAAAAAAAACCACAAAAAAAACCCCCAAACAAACAAAAAACAAAAACCAGTGGAAATGGGTTTGAGGACTCTATGTAAAAGACCCTGCACATGGATCATATTTTGAGAAATTAGAAATATGTCTTCTTTTACATTTTTCTTTGTAATCCTAATGGGAGAGAGAATACTTCACAGGAAGATTGTATATCTTGACTTTCTACATCAAATGACTTAAATTTTTTTGTATGTGTCTCCTTAGAAAAAACTGCGCAGGTCACAACATGCTCGCAAAGAAACGGAGTTTCTGCGACTGAAGAGGACTAGACTTGGCTTGGATGACTTTGAATCTTTGAAAGTTATAGGAAGAGGAGCATTCGGGGAGGTTTGTAGCTTTCTTGCTTGAATAGAATATTAAAAGTGAATTGAATGTTGAAATGAAACATTTTAATTACAGAATAAGAAGTTCCAGTTAGGGAGTTTTATTGCAGAAGTGTAGTAAACATCCTCCCTGCCCTGTGTCACATCGTGGTTGTATCTGCTCCTGAATTTTAGCGTACACAATCTCACAGCTACCTGGAGTTTACTGTGCCTGCTAACTTTTCCTAAAACAATACTATTTCAAACTATCTGTTCATCACTAGTGTTAGTGTTGTACACGGTGTAGAAATATTTCTTTCTTCCATGTGTTTTTAAACATTTAACAAAAGACCTTTTCCATGCACAGCAATTTTGAACATTCCAACAAATAGATTCCACACTGGAGTCTAGTTTCTGAGGCAGAGAAGATTGATTGGGTTATATTTCTCATTATAGGTACGCCTTGTGCAGAAGAAGGATACAGGTCATATTTATGCAATGAAGATACTAAGAAAAGCAGATATGCTGGAGAAAGAACAGGTTTGTGTTGTATAAGTCTACTAGTTTTCAAACTTATGCTGTCTAGAAAACTGACTAAGTTCTTTGTGGCAGATACTATTTGGTTGTATTTTCCCCTTCTATAGACCTGATAAAGGTATAGCAGTCCAAAGCATCTATGGAGTTGCTACCACAGTACAAAAGAATACGTAGTAAGTTAGGAAATAAGGCCATATAACAGCACTTTTAAAAACGTTTTGTTGACAACCAATTTGGAATAAAGATTTTTTATTTTTTTCTCTCTTCCTTTATCAATGGTGACCTTATATATTGATCTGTAAAACTACATTTCCAAGAAAATTCTTCTTGAAAAGTAATGCTGTGCAAAAGTAAAAATTGAGAATACTTGATGGGTTTTTTTGATGGTTAGAAACCAAGAAATGCCACATTGTTCATTGTCTTTGTTTCCATTTCTTTTGCTTTTTATTTGGGTCTTTTCTTGGTTTGCTTTGGTTTTGTTAGTTTGGTTTGGTTTTTGCAATTACTTTTTAGTTAACAATTCACTGCAAATTCCTGGTAGGACACAGCAGGTACTTTAGCACCACAATGCAAACAAATCAAGTGTGGATGTCTCAAGCAAAAGGGCAGATAAAAGAGGACTTTTCCTTACCTATTCAAACCTTACCCATCATTTGCTCTTGTATTATGTTTCCCTGCAGTGGTACTTCTACTTTATTTTTTTTGTGGCATAGACTTTTTGTCTCCTGAAGCCCATGCCCTGAATATAGGGAACCAGAGGAGCAGCATGTTCTGCACAGCAGCCACGATGTGTGTGGTCCTCTAGTTGAAGCCATGCCCTGATTTCATAACCTGATGTGGCAAGGAGGCTGAGCTCACACTCTCCACTTAGTCTGGGACTGTCATATTCCCTGGAGAGTGTCTATCTGCTGTAATTTTAATTGCCTGGTTTGTTCAATGGAAAGCAACACAGGATATGAATACAAGAAAATTTAGAAATTTTTTTTTCAAGCCTGATAACACTGGGAGATATCCTGGCTGTTTTTAAAGCAAGGTTTTAATATTATATTTTAGAGCTACATTGAGGAGTGGAGAGCAGTACGAAATATTTTCTAGTGAGAATAGATAGAACTAGATGAAATTGGAATGTGTACTACAGAGAGAGAACCCATTGCCCTGTGAAACCCTGTGAAAAGAACACATACATGTAAAGATGCTCCTGACAAATAGAATTGGGAGAGAGATGCAGAAGACTTGGCTGTTTATTGGAAATACCCCTCGAAGCTGAACTAATGGTACATATTTTCTTTCCAGAAGTTGCTTTCTGGTGTATGAATAATGAAAATCTTACAGCTGTCAAGAAATATCTTTCCATCCGTATGTCTTTCATTTTCCTTCAGGATGAGGATACATTCTAGTGAAACATACACCCCTCCTTCAGTCTCCATTACTCTTAGGTTCCAGTGAATTCATGGGGTAGCAGCTCTTCATCTATTTTTCAAAGCCCCAGCTGGGACTGGAGTATCCTGAGCGAGGTCAGATGACCCCAAACTCACTTGCCCAGGGCCAGCATCAGGAGCAGTGGTGGCCATATCAGTTCTGGGCCAGCTTCATGCACATCACTTGGAGGAATGGCTCCATCTTCTCTTCCCTTCCTCCCCCTTAAATAGAGTACTGAGCTTGCTGTACCATATAAAGCTTTGTGATGGTCAGCTCAGTAATTTTTTTTTGAATGTTCCTATTTCATTTTAGGGTATAATAAAAAAGGGAATTGCACTTTTCACAAACTTCTGTAGTTCTTTCCAACAAACAGAAACAGTTTAGCAAGCTATGCTTTGTGCTTCTAGGGGCTGGTCCTGCAAAGCTGTGTGAACAAGAACAATTACATTCAACATTGAGTTGACTTCTGTGGGTCAAGCTATATAATATGGCATTCCTTGTTGAAATATTTAAATTGTCCTTTAATCATAGTATTTTTTTAAAAACTTCAGGTGGCCCACATCCGAGCAGAAAGAGATATTTTGGTTGAAGCAGATGGAGCCTGGGTAGTGAAAATGTTTTACAGCTTTCAGGATAAAAGAAATCTTTACCTGATCATGGAGTTCTTACCTGGAGGTAAGCTGTATGTTGTGGTGTTAGGTGATAGAAGTACTTATTCCTTAGCTTTCATTGTCAGCTTTGTAAAATGTTGGAAGTAAGAATGCTGTCTAATTTCTTATAATAAAAAAATTACTGCTGTTTTAAATGAAGTCCTGGTAATGTAACCACTCCTGATTTTTAGAGGAAGGAGGAACGTTATGGAGGGGTGTTGAAATAGACTTGTATTAAATAATTATTCTGATCCAACGTTCTACTCTTTACTGCTGAAGCTAGTAAATACATGCAATATATGTATTATGCATTCACTGAATATTCCTGGGCTATCCAATTAAAATTTCTATTTGGGATTTTAAACAATTGTACATCCAGTTTACTAAAAAAGTATGTTGGGTTTGTAGGTCCTTGCAGTAATAGTTTTATAATTAGTAGCTATAAGGCCAGTTACAAGCTTAAATTTGGATTCTACTGGGGTTTCCTGGAGAATTAGTCTTGTGATTAAAATGTTCTGATTTCTAAGCTGTATTTTCTGTTCTTTGATTAGGTGACATGATGACCTTACTAATGAAGAAAGACACCTTGTCAGAAGAGGAGACACAGTTTTACATTTCTGAAACTGTGCTGGCCATAGATGCTATTCACCAGCTGGGATTCATCCACAGAGATATTAAGCCAGATAACCTTCTGCTGGATGCTAAGGCATGTAATGTGCATGTAAACTGCCTATGCTTTCAACATCTCAGTCTGCAGATAATGCCATTTATAGTGCTGCGAATTGGTTGCAACCAGTAGTGCCACACCAGTGATTTTAAACTAGCTGGAGTAAAGGCAGAAAGTGGTCATTATCTTTTCCTTGTAGAACACTAGGATACTTAAAGCAAAACTCCCCCCCCCCCCCCCCCTTTTTTTTTTTTTTTTGGTTGGAAAGCCTTTTAATCCTTTTAAGGAAAGCCCTTAAAGTGAGAAGACCCACACAGGGTGTCCAGATGCTCATATCCATACACATTAAAAACTGATACACTTAGTTATTTCAAGATGAATGAAAACATGAAACATTCAGACAGTGCTAAATAGTCAGTTCAATTCCTGTACTTATCTCATTTGTTTTGTTACCTACTCACTAAAGGAAGCAGTCTGTCTGTTAGACTGACTATAGCAAGCCATGAAGCAGACCCAGTAAGCATCATACACAAATCTGTAGACCATCTAACATTGATGTCTGGAAACCTGATTAAAAACAGGTTACTGTCAAAACAAAGAAATTTTGTCCTGGGAGGCCTTCTCAGTCTCAGTGGTATCCAGTTCAAAATAAAAAACAGGCACACTGTCTGCCCTCAGCTGCTACAGTATTGTAGATATAACCATTCCCAGGAGCAATAACCCATTTGAGAGAAAACATGTTCTCACAGTACATTAAGATTCAGTCATTATTTGCCTACTTGTCCTGAATTAAGTAGTCCTGTGCAAGTCCATCATGGCCTGAGAAGGCATGTGCAGTTATTAAAACTGTTTGTCAAGCACTATCTAAATTATATTTTTATCTTCTCTGATTTTTTTAGGGTCATGTAAAACTGTCTGATTTTGGGCTATGCACAGGTTTAAAGAAAGCTCACAGAACTGAGTTCTACAGGAACCTTACACACAACCCACCAAGTGACTTCTGTAAGTATAAAGTGTTCTAGTTAAACATTTAAATAGTTTTGAGCTGTAGCTATGCTACATCATAATTTATTTCTGCTGGGTTAAGCAAGATTGGTCAGGCTGATTGCGTTTAGTTGGAAAACTGGTAATGCGTGTTCCCTGGGATGTGGAAGCATTTCACAAGAAAGAAGTGACGATTTCTGCAGTGTTAATCTATTATTGCACATTTGTACACAGATACAAATGCACATCATGCAATGTATTTATATTTTAATGTATTTTTCATAACGATGTTAGTGAAGTTACAGAAACACTCAGAAGGGACATAGGTTTCATGTGCTGGCTTACTGAAGTCAGTGACAATCTCATGGAGCTTTTCATAAGAGTAAAGTTGTTCATCAGTGTGCTTTGCTGACACATCCACATTAGTGTTTTATTCTACAACTGTGAAATTTCTCTTGCAGTTCTTCTTGATTTCTTCACTTACTGCTTAAAAAAACCATTGTCTGTATCTGAATATATGTTGCCAGCTGCAACAATAAGTGCTGCTGATCTTGGATCAATCTGTAAAACTTTTAGCAAGTTCTAATTCAGAATGGCTGATCACGTGTCCTACTTACCTGAGTTTCAGCTGCAAATTGGACAGTAGCTATTCCTATCTCCAGTTATAATAAAGTATTTGTTTCTAGACTAAAGCATTCTAAAGATATAGTTAGACTTTGAAAACTTGTTATCAGTATTTTCTTTTTCATTCTCATAAATGCATTTACTATCTAATTACTATTTTATAAATTAGCATTTCAGAATATGAATTCAAAGAGAAAAGCAGAAACGTGGAAGAAGAACAGGCGACAGCTGGTGAGTTAATGGTGTATAATTTTTTTCTTTTAAACTGTTTACAGAAAATGTTAAATAAAAACTGGGGATTAATGCTGCTGGTTTTTAAAAACTGAAAGGCCCTCATCTCTTAAAGATGTTGCTCTCTTCAGGCTCCCAAAATTTCTTAACTCAAAAGAAGGTGGTCTAGAGATTCCAGTTGTGGAATAGCTCAGAGGTCAGGGGAAGAGTGGAAGGATGACCATCAGCTAGGTCACTTATTCTGTTTTCAGAGCTGTGACTAGCAAGGCCCTGCTCTTCTCTGTGCCCTTGTTTCCCTTATGAGCATCTGGACTAACTAACCTTAGGTGTCAGCAACTGCTTAGTAAAGGTGTATCTTCAGTTTGTCTCCTAAACTGACCTGGCACTGATACCGTGTGTGAACTCCTGCAGTTCAGTGTCGCAAGAAGATGCGTGGGTGCGTGAGTCTTTGAGAACTGTGGGGAGAACTTGTTTGTCCTTTCGCTGAACGGGAATGTGATGGAAAGGCAGTGGAGGATATTGGCACTGGAGTGGTGCAGCCTGGGTTTGTAGTGAGTGGTCAGGTAATGAAGGGCCTTCTGGCATGAACTGAATCAAAGGAGAGTGTCTATAAGCCATGGGATTTTAGAATTTTAGCCCCACTTGTGATTTTAACCAAATAGCAGTTGCAAAAACCTCAGTTTTCAAATTTTGGAACTTCTTTTGCACACACTGTTTAACAAGTGATATGCCACAGGATTCCCAAAAAGCTTTGGGGTTATTTTCTCTTTCTATGAGACGTAATGAGATCGTATTGCAATCATGCTGCCTCATAGGGGCCCCTGCTCCTGCTTGGAGTTAGATCCCTGAAAAGACTACAGCCAGTAAAGACTAGTGTGGCACAGCAATGTGGTGAAGCTAGATGAATCATGAGACAGTCCAAGAGAGTATAAAAGGCCAAAATGACAACTTGTATCAACACTATTTGAAAAGGAGCTGTATTCTTGGTTTTCAAGTGGTTCAAAATGAAGTGTCTAGCCTCTGTTAGATAAAATGAAGCATTTTGTTTCTGGTCAGACAAAAGAAAGTAAAAGATTTTTCTGGCAAAACTGGTTTTGGTGGACTCTTTTGGTTTTACAGGTTTTTGTTGTTTTGGAGTTTGGTGGTTTGTTGTTTTGTTTTTTTTTCTCCCCCTCCCCCCGCCCTTGCCTCATGCAAAATTTTCCCTCAGTAAAGAGAAATTCCCAAATAGTTCAAGTCATTAGCCAGAATCATCTAGGCTGCACTTTTAAAAGATTAAAATGATGGAGCCTGGATCCAGTAAGAGCTCAAAATAATTTTGCAATAAAGACAAGGTAATAAATGGAACAGCTAGTGTATCACAAGTGTCACACATGGATATCTACCACTGGTTATCCCTTTAAAACAAAAATGAACAAACAAACAAAACTACAAAAAAACTATAACAACAAGAGAACTACTTAGGTATTTTAGTAATGCAGCTACCTGAAACCTGAGCTGAGATGACCTTCTGATATTGCAGAGGGAATATTCTGTGATTTTGACACATTAGGAGGAAGATTTAAATTTACTTTCAAGGTTCTCTGTGCTTATTCAGGTAAAAAGAATAATGTTTTTGGGATTTTTAGATACTGTGAATTCTCAAACTAAACATTCTTGTCCATCCAAATAACAAGATCCTATATGTGAATCCCGAGGAAAAGGTTTTGCAAAGTGTAAAAATGTAGTATTTATCTTCTAAAGAGTTTATTCCTTTTTTCCAGGCATATTCTACTGTCGGAACCCCAGACTATATTGCACCAGAAGTATTTATGCAGACTGGGTACAACAAGCTCTGTGACTGGTGGTCTTTGGGAGTGATTATGTATGAAATGCTAATAGGTATGTTAAAGACCCAACCTAAGACTCATTCAAAGAGTTCAAAGGTAACAGTTTCCATTAATTCACTGAGTCTGATCCTCTGCATAGTAGTGGAGGTACCAGACTTTCATTCAGTTCTACCTGAAGTAAGCCTCAAATTTAGCTTCCAGAAAACTTTGAAGTCCTCCCACCTTTCCAAGAAGACAGAAAGAGATGCCTCAGTTGTTTCAGTGGAATAACTGTTCGCTAATAAATGTTTTTGAGGGTCAGTCTCATTACTTGGAAGTAACAAAATAACGTTTAATGTTGTATTACAAAAGAGAAAACTCTTGGCTAGTACTACTTGTTAGATTTGGGAGCCGTGGTGGCAAAAGCAGAGGCTTTTTGTACTTTTTGCTTCTGGGAAAAGCTTGTTGATTTTTCTATCTCTTTGTGCAGGGTATCCACCTTTCTGCTCTGAAACGCCACAAGAAACTTATAGGAAAGTTATGAACTGGAAAGAAACATTGGTGTTTCCTCCAGAGGTGCCCATTTCAGAGAAAGCAAAGGATTTAATTTTAAGGTCAGTAACTAAAGCCCACTTCTGGCCACTCACCCAGGCATAATCATCTTCTATTGGGTTAACTTTCCCTTCTGCATGCAGGAAGCTTTAGATTGGAGGGGAAGTTAGCAGGGGGGTTGGAACTAGATGATCTTTAAGGTCCCTTACAACCCAAACCATTCTAGGATTCTTTTGTGTTGCCATTCTGGATGGATTTTTTTAGTCTTTTTCCCTTTGCTATTTAGCATGAAGAAATAAGCTGTGATGATCTTGATTTGTACCATGGTATCAGGAGAAACACAGCAGATTGTAAAAAAGAAGGGAAAAAAAAAGTGATTAACACCCAGTTTTTCTCTTCTCAGAGGGAACTAGAAAATTAACCACTTGCCAGCACTTAAGGTGCTGAACAGAAATCTTTGGATGTTTTGGATTTACTCACTTGTTCCAAAATGACAGTTTTTAATCCATTCAGTTTGCATTGAAGTTTTTGTGAGGGTTTTTGATGTCAAGGTCAGGCAGAAATGCTCTCTTGTCCTGGGAGGTTTGGGGGGTGGTGGTTTTTGGCTTTGATTTTTTTCAAAGATAATATTACAAGCTTACCCAATTTTGTTACAGGCAAAAAGGAGAACATATTTCATAGGCAGAGCCAAGAACTAGAATTTATTATTAGTCCAAGCAGTGCTCCAGTAGCCTACAACAAACATAACAAATACAATTAACAGTTATTCTTAATCCAGTTACAGTGATACTAACAGTTCAAATTACTTAATTATTGCTAATCCTCATTAATAAGTTTGCATGTAACAGTTTTATTACATTTTCACTATTTCTTTAGTGTTCTGCTTAACCTTTCCTGTGCAGTGTTAAAGGAAGTTGCAGACAAAGCTGAAGTTTCTTTATTTTTATGGATATAGATAAAACCAAACTAAAATAAAATCAAGTTCAGACAAAGCCTGACAAATCTTGAGACCTGGTCTGGCTAACTGTTGTTACAAGGTTTGAGGTCTTTTATTAGTACTTGGCATCCACCAGTACTTGTCTGGGCTGCAGTAGAAATATAAGCAGGTTTTCTTCCCAAGTGACACTCAACTACAAGTAGAAGAACATTACAGTCTACAACTGAAGATGGTTTACAGCTTACATTGATACGTTACTAAATTTCCTGATGAAAATGTCACTAACCAGTGAGAAGGTGATCTTTGGTGTTTTGCAGTGTATTGATGTGAGAAGTGCCTTGTGAATCTGGATGATGCGATTGTGTGGAGAGATTATGAGTTCAGGATAAGTAAATCAACAACCAGAGGCTTTGCTCATCTAGGCAAACAGGATTTAATTTAACAAAGGCCAGCTGACTTAAAGCAACAGGAGGCGCATATCCCCATTCTGTCAAGTGCTCCCCAGTTCCAGGAGGTTGTCCAGTGACTCCACACTTAGCAAGACCAAGTTTTCTGTTTGATGTGGGCATTTTACCTCCTCCTTTGTCCTCAGAAACTGCAAGGACAGCAAAGATATAACTGCTTTATATTTTTACACTAACACGGACAAAAGATAGCCAGGATTTAATGAACTTCTATGCCAAGGATTGGTATGCTCACCATCTCCTTGATGAGTCACTTCAGAGTCTTTTCCAGCCAGCATCAGTCCTTGCAGGTGTCAGTCCATAGAAGAAGGGTCAGCCTCTGCTGCTTCCTGGAACAAATCCCCGATGTTGCTGAGTTCCTGTCAGACAGCTTCCTTCTCCCTATTTTTTTTCTTCAGGATTTTGCACTTCGGTGTTTTCCTCCTGCCTACTTGAACAGGTTAACAGTCCCCATCTTAACAGTCCTAGCTCTATCACAAATTTAACTTTTTTTTTTTTTCTTTCTTATTTGACTCTCTGGACTTTCTCATAGCTGCTTCTCACAAATTGACTGTTTCTTCTGGAGTCTGAGCCAAGGTTATGCAGCTGGGCTATATCAGAGATAGGCCTTAGGTCTTTGTACCACCAACACCTTCCCTCTGAGGGAGAGGGAAGAGGAGGTGGCAGACTGAATAGGGTATGCTATGGACATGGCATGTTCTCAGTGTGTCTGCTGGCTCATTGTAGTTCCAAAATGTGACATCAGAGAGTAGTACTATTCCACTTAGTGTATCTGCTCCTGTTAGTTTGACTTTGAAATGTGTATTTTAAATAGTTGAGAACATACAGAGGAGTTTTCAATGGTAGGGACTTAAGTCTCAATTCCAAACTAATCTTATAGGGCTAGAATCACAGAATGTTAGAGACTGGAAGGGACCTCGAAAGATCATCTAGTCCAATCCCCCTGCCGAGCAGGAACACCTAGAACTTGCAGTAACTATTCACAAACCTTGAAGATGGGGAGGCAACAGATTAGAAAAGGTCTAAGTTACTGGCATCATGCTTTTTGTTTTGGGACTTTAACAATATTCTGCTTCTACTGTTTCCCTTCTCTCCTACATGCAATGAGCTGCTTTTACACTAGCCCAAGTGATGGAACAATTTGAAAGAACTTCCTCAAATTCCTGATATGGGATACCACGGCAGTTTTATTTACTGTGGCTTTTGTCTCCGTGTATTGTAACATTCCCTTTATTTTTTCTACTTTTTTTCAGGTTTTGTACTGACTCTGAAAATAGAATTGGTAGTAATGGAGTAGAGGAAATAAAAAGTCATCCGTTTTTTGAAGGAGTGGACTGGGGACATATCAGGTATGTATATATATACACACACATTTTAGAGAATAAGAGCCATGAAAGCAAGAATTTCATGCACTATGATGTTGAGGATACTTATTTACAATTTATCTTTTATTTTGGAAGGCAACTACTGGCAGTAGGTGGGTGACAGGGCAAGTTTTCAGGCCTTGCTGACATTGATAGATCTGTCTTGAGATGCCTCAGATTGCCCCAGAGTGCCCAGGATGGAAACAAATTATGGAAGGATGACTGTTGTTCCTGATGTATGCTCTGGTATCACCAGAGTGCTCCTCTTCCAGTAGTAATGGGCTCTGCAGCTATTGCTATAATTGACTTTTTTTGTAATAGGAGCACAAGAAAAGCAAACTCTGTTCCAAAAATGCAGGGGAAATAGATGAATGAAGAGGAGAGGCAACAAGTATAAGGAAAACACAGGGCACATCTTTACTGCACGCTGAAGATACTACAGCTGAGTGAACTGGTATGTCTACAGAGTGCTGGGCAGAGGCACTGACTCACCTCGGTTGCAGCCTCTGTGGCCAAACTCTGCTGGGCCAAGCCTGGGTAGAGGGCCCAGCCAAGGCAGCCATACCAGTTCCAGCCTAAGCTTATGCCTGCAGATGCTGAGCTACATCTGCACCTACACAAGGTGATAACAGCTTTAGAGCAAACTTTGGTGGCTGCACAGTTGAAATGATGGCTACTGTTCAGCTCCCTTTAAGGTTTGAGGTAGTCTGCTCTTTCAGCATTACTGCAGTATTATATATAGTAATACTACTATACAAAAATCCATACTGTGGGCATGTGATTGTCCAACTCTTGTACTTATTTCCTCTGGTGCAGAAAGCCCCATTTAACATCTCTCTTCATGTAGCAGACATTAATAAGCAGCAAGAACAGTGACATATCTGTTCATGTCACATTTGGCAACATGGCAAGATGATTTCCCTGTTCCACACAGAAGTGGTTTTAATTTTAATTGTAATAATTGCAACCATAATAAGTTTACAGCTGTAAATTAATGACGTTCCCACAGTGTCATGTTCCAGTTTGAATGGTTTTGTGGGATGGATTACTTAAGCAACTTTGAAAATCACCTTAAAACTTTCTTAAAGGGCTGCCTAATTGTTGAGCTAATAAAGCAGTAACATGCCAGAGCTGACCCATTTTAGATGAGAGACACTAGTGACTGAATGTCAGAAGTGGGAGCTACAGTCAAAAGGTATTTGGATGAGGTCCACGCTGATAAGTGCCGGAATTGTAAAGCAATGTGTCTGATGGCTCCAAATGCAAGTAAAATACTGCTTGGCTGGGTTTATGAAACTAAGGTAGCCGCAGTGGTTCTTGGTGACAACCTAGATCGTAGTGATAGCTATATGGCAGGTAAGTGTGGAATGCTCTTTCAGTTAATGGGAAAAGTTTGCCAAGAAGATAGTAATGCTTGATAGGAAACCAGTAAATCTCCCCATGATGTCAGCAAACAGGCAAGTCCGATACACCTCTGATGGACTCAGTGGAACCTTTGTGCTTTAAGTAAAAGGGATGTTGTAACTGTAAAAAGCTAAGTTAAACAAAACTGGAACTTAATGTATCTTTTCCTAGTATTCACTATTCTGACACTTATTTCTGTTTTCAGGGAGAGACCAGCTGCAATCCCTATAGAAATCAAAAGCATTGATGATACTTCCAACTTTGATGAATTTCCCGAATCTGATATTTTACAGCCAGGTGAGACTGCCATTGTAAATTCCAAATTTCTATCTATGACATGCCAGAGTACTCCACAGATGCTTTTGTTGTTGTTTATGTTACATTTTTCTGATACCCTAATCAAGGTAATATACAGACTTGATCTAGAGACTTTCTTTCAAATATAAATGTAAACCTGTGATCTCTCATAGCTGCTGCTTCCTTAGAACTTTGGAACGGGAAAAAAAAAAGCCTACAGATTTTAAGTTAAATCTGTTAGTAAAAATGGTTTGCAGATATAGTGAGCACAGAAAATAGTGCAGTTTGCTACCATACAGTCTGTCTAACCAAATTCTGGTAAAAACATCATGCACTGATTCACTTTCAGTCTTTAATGACTTTCGAGTTTCATGCCAGACATAAATATTCACATATTTGTGGGCAAGAATTTGCAGGCAGATGACTATTTAACATAGTGATTTATGAACCCATTTAGGGTTTTTTTAATTGTTAATTTATTTTAGAAAGTAGTAGGAAATTTTTACACTTAAAAGGCTTGATTCTCTGACATGCCAAATTCTTCCAGCTCCCACTGTTTTCAATGAATTATTAATGGCTTAAAGATAAGCAGATATATAACAATGATTAATTGATGACAGGTAAGTGTAGATGTACTAACAACCATAAGAATTATCAAAAACGGTTTGTTTTGGTTTTTTTCTGAAATGGCTTTTATTTACTGGCAAAGAAGTTTGTCCTTTTCAATGCAAAAGCAGTCATCTCCAGTGCCTAAGTTAAGCTGTTTAAGTCCATATATGGGTAATGCTATAAGCAGACAGGAAGTCCTAGAAGACCAGTATGTGTGTGATATGCGTAGTTCTCTTGGGAGAACTTGGATATATCTTTTTCTTCTGTTTGTGGTGAGGATAACACAATATGTATATGTGTCTGTTGTGCATGGAGCATCCTAAATGTTATGTTTTCTGTAATTATATACCCTGTGGTGGTTCAGAGGTTCCTGTCAAGTTACGGGAGCCTGTTACAGTGTGTAGAGATACTAAAAAATCCTGAAATCCAAACAAAAAAACCCCTTTTTGTGCTTCAAAGGTATATGCTGAAGTTATAGCTCTTCTCAGACCATTGACAAAAGGCAACTGACCTGATTAGAAACAGGATTTCTTCAAGGAATTTCTGATGACTAGGGAAATAAGAGTTCAGGACTGTTTATGTCAGTGTTTTGTGAAAAGTCCTCTCAGAAGCAATGCTGTTTTAAATTGTTTTGTTTTTATTTTTGTTTCTGAATTCCAGTGCCAAACACAACGGAACCTGACTACAAATCCAAAGACTGGGTTTTCCTCAATTATACCTACAAGAGGTTTGAAGGGCTCACGCAGCGAGGCTCAATCCCTTCCTACATGAAAGCTGGGAAATTGTGAAACAAAACACAAACCCCCAAAAGAAATAAAAATACAAACCTCAGGTAGCTGCATCACCAGACCCGCTTGGCATTAGTTATCAATACGTTGAGTCTGGTGCGCATCAATTTCACAAGGAAATTCTACAGGATTAGGATTTCTAAGACTATTACAGGAATTAGTTGGCAGTGCCAGCTGGCTTTTTTTTTAATATTTGAATATTTTTGTTAACTTTATTATACAAAGGTACTGGAATAAAAGGAACGTACATCCCTTTGTAACTGCACTGCCCATGTGTGTATAATGGTTAATTATGCCTCTCTGTACTGTGGCTTTGTTTGTACTGTAAACCATCTAATCCACCCAGGAGTAAAACATATCATTTTACACGGCATTGTTATTATACTGCTTACCTGCTGGGTTTTAGAAATGCAGTGTAAAAAAACCAGTGCCCACATTTGCAAAATTCTTTGAGCATTTGCTCAAGGGCGTTCCAATTGTGGTCTGCAGATGCCCCATGGGTGTAGCAACACTGAATTATTTCAAATAGCAGTGTCCTGTGGGCCTACCTGTACCCTGCCTACCCTTGCTTCTACTCACTGGAGGGCTTTATCAACTGACCATCCCTTCTTCTCTTTCTTCCTTTTTCTACTGTGTGTGGCAGTGAGACAGTCCCTGTGATCTCTTTAGGGGTATTTCCACTTTAAATGATAGTTGGTGGGTATTACTGTTTAAGATGACAATGCCTGTTGGCAACTTCAGAAGAAAAAAGGAATCTGCATTAAAATTATAAAGATTTTGAACAGAGGGGAAACTTTCTGATACCAAGTTCTGAAGAGACGGCAGAGTTTCCAGGACTGCATTCCTACCTATGCTGTAAGGCAGATCATCTCTTTGCTTCTCATAATTCAAATAGTCTTTTCTGTCTGTGCACAATGTATTCTAGAGAAGTGATGAAATTTATTCTAGAGAAGTGATGAAATTGCTGCTTTTTCTTTTTTGTCTCTCTAAGAATTTTCAGACAGAAGGGACCCTACTCTAGCCTTTTCTTTCCAGAATACCCTGTGGCAGCTTCTACCAAGCCAGAGGAAGTGGAGCACCCCACTGGACTCAGACTCTCTTGTGGGCTCCATCTGCTTCTAGTATCTCCATCTAACGTGGACCGTGGGATTACAAAGGATCAGCTGAGTCTGGAGCCCAGTTTCCAGGAACTACACCACCCATGACCGAATGGGGCAGATGATCTAAATGCTGTTCTCGCATGATACTGACAAATTGACAGTAGAAATGGGTCTCCTTCTCCTAGGATGAGGAAACTGAAGCAGAAATCCCTCTATATGCTGGGTATGGTTTTGTTTCTCAACCCAGCAGCAGTTAAGGACTGCTGGCAAATTTATCTCTCTTTGCCTGTACTAGCATTTTATCTGCAGTACTTCAAATCTATCACAATACAGTAAAGATCTCTGATATAATTTTCTCATTACAAAGGAGATTTATAGCAATGAACAATTCCCCAGTAACTGAACAAGCAGAGTCACTGCTGCTGTCTTCCTCTTCTGAATGCAAATGAAAGGCACTCTAAAGCCTCCACAACGCCCATCAGAGTGAAGCACAGGATGTTTTGGCATAAAGTAGGAAAGACTCCATTATACTGCTTTTTTGCAGCAAAATGGAATGACTATTTATAAAGCCATTACAGAAGTATTTATTGCTGTTAAGCACCATGGTATCAGCCATTCTGAATTATTTGTATGCTCTAAAAACACACTGGGCTGTTCATCTGATGCATAAAAGACCATTTATCAGCAAGATTTCTGTGCCTCAGTGGCTTACTGATGTGCATGTAGTCTTTCCCCGATCCAGCAGCTTCTAGGTTCCTCAAAGGTGTCAGTGATGTCTTTCCTCCAATATTTTGTCTCCCTTCAAGCATCTAATATCTGTTATTTATCCTGCATTTCAACAGGGCCTCAGGGCCCATCCAAATTATACAGTGTTATTTCAGAACATGGCTAAGCTAAACTTTTCCCTAAATGCTGGACTTATGTGGGAACAGCTTATTGATTTCCCAGTTTTTCTTCCCAGACCTTACACTAATTAACACCCCTTTACTGTCACTGGGGCAAGATCCCTCAGAAATTCTCCAGTGTTGTTCTCAGCCTTGTCAATGTAGTGAAGCTCAATCTGTATCCATCCAAAGACTGTCCAAAAACAGTAACTCACTTAAATCCACCTCTACACTTTCAGACTTCATTCTGCCAGTGCCCTAGCAGCTTCTGAGGCTTCTCAGGAAAGGAAATTCCTCTTCTAAGGCCTTCAATCCATTCTACCACAACAGAGGAGCTTGGGCAGAAAATACCTGAGATGAAAGCTTGGCCTCAAAGGACACTGCTATTCAAAAGAGTTTTTATTAATTTCCAGTCTCATTCATGGGGCACTATGTGCACCAGAAGTGGAATTCCTGCAAACAGCAACACCACAGTTGCCCTATTTGCGTAATATAAAAAGAAGTCTTTGCTTGAACTTGCTAAGACAAGATAAGTTTCATGGAATCTGCAAATGCTCAGTAATACTGGTAATTTTTTTTTCTTTCCTGTGGGATTTGGGGGAGGGGAGATAAATGCACACTTAATTTAAAGCTATCTATTAAACAACTAGGTCTGTACATACTCACTGGTTTACAAACTTGGGAAAATCTCAACCCTTATATTTGTAACACTAAAGATAATACTCATTTAAAATTGTGGATGATTAATCATATCAGTGCTCACATAGGAGTATCCATAGGGAAGCAGCCTGCAGCCTATCTAGCATAAACTCCTGTATTGTGGTAGTTGATTCTTTTTTCAAAACATAGCATTATTTTAATCAGTAAGTCAAGTTAAACAAAATATTAACTATGCTTTTAGGATGATAGAATTTTTTTTAAAGGTGAAACTGTGACACTGCAATGGATTAAATAGAGAACAGAAAGTTAATCTACACTGGCTTTCAAAAATGGAAGTGCAACATATCTTTTGTTATTTTTGTCTTATTCCTTTGGATGGTTGTGTTTTTTTCCCCTTTGGTGATGTTTGTCAATGTGCCATTTATTTTTCTTATTCTTGGAGTACCAAAGATCCTGAAATGGCTTGATGATTGCAACCATGTGAAAATTTATTTTCTGGAAGTATGTTTTGTTAACTTTTGTTAAAATGTGGAATTGTGTATGCAAATTGTTATCAGAGGTTTCCTGGGAAGTTAACCTATTCCGGCAGGGAAAACTGGAGTGCATCGATGGAAGTGGTGAGCCTGAATCCAAATTTTGGATCTGAATGCCCTGAAACTGGGGAGGAAGCTTGGATTGGGAAACCCAGCTGAGCTTTTGCACTTTGTTCCATCTCCAGTCAGCATGATTGAGTGGCCTTAGGTACAGGACAACAGCAGAGGTTGTTTCATGTGCAAAAGGAGTTAAAAAAATTGCCAGCATTCAGAAATCAAATATTGTTGATACTGCATTTGCACTGTTAAATTTGCCTTGCTGGAGAGTTACATAAGTGTTATTTTTATAGGTCAATTGTTAAACACCTGAGCCAGTGGATACAGTATGGAATAATAGCATCTGACGTGGGTGAATTCACCTAAGTGCAAAGGGGCTTGCTGGAAGCTCTCCACACTACTGAGATAAATGGACATAAGCAGTACAAAGGGTGTTGTGTCAGCTCCTTCTGAAGAGGTGACTTTCCTCCTCTGCAACAGCAAGTAGGGAATAACTGCAGTTTAGCCCGGTTATACTCTAATGCTTAGGAAGTGCTCTCACTTTTTCAATAATATGAGCAATTACAAGCATTGTAACATACTGTACCTTCTCCTTTTAATGTTGATATATTACAGCAGCTCGTTCTTGGAGTCGAAATGGCAACTGCTATATTTTTCCTAGACTGTTTCATTAGTTGTGGTTGGGAAAGTTACATAGAAGCATTATAAAAATTTATATGAGGCTTTTTACAGCATTTGAAAATAAAAGTAGCATTCTTTTTTGTAAAGTTGTGGTTTTTATTTTTTCACATCAGTGTACTGGATTTGTTTCTCTTCCAGAATGGGAGACATCTAAGGAATTGAGACACTTTTTTGTGTATTCTCATCTTTAATTCTATGGACAGTGAAAATGCCAGTGTTGCTACTCTTGATCAGAAAGTAGAGATCACAAAAACTGTCCAACTTGTACCAACTGCTGTCATGTGAAGCTGCTTCTAAAATGTGTATTGCTCCTCACAAGAGACTTCCAATCTTCTTCCCTGAAGGCCATAATCTATTCAAGAAAGGCTTCTATGTGCAGTTGTGTCCTTCAATTCACTGTAGAAACCATTTTGTCCTACTGTTTCCATTTGCTGTCTGAGTTTAGAGCAAGTGGCAGCAGATGCAGTTGTGAAACAGTCATGTAAAAAATTATTGCAGAGTTGAGCAGCTGAAAGCAACGAGGAGCTACCAGCTGGTGACTGGCCTTTAGAGTCCTCCAGTGAATAACAGCCTTCCGCTAGAGAATTGCTGCTCTCAGTAAATGATACAATTTTATCAGAATTTTACAAATTCTATTTAATGGGATTACACTTTTCTTCCAGTAACCAGATTTTATATCTCAGAGCTACATCTCATAAGGAAATGCAGGCTTAGTTCTTTATCTCCTTGCATTACCAAATTCAGTATTCCTCAAAAATACAGCACTTTAATGGTAAGTATAAAGGCTATGCCTTCAGCATGTACAGATTTTTTTTTAAATCAACCACTTTTAAATGTTATCTAGTTTAGCCTTTATAAAACACACTGCAACTATCTGTTGTGCATTTTTAATTTCTTTATTCTTGTATGAAGTGTGCCTTGTACATAAGGAAAACAATTATCCTCTGGACAATAAAATGTCTTTCTGGCAATCTTTGTATGGAGAAAGAAGTGAGGACTATTCAAAACAGTCTGTCTTGCTGTTGGGAGTAATGACAATAGTGGTTCCCAGCTCTGGACTAGACAAGGATGAATTTGCAGTTCAG